ACGCTGTTAGCTCGCAGCGGCTACGTCCGCCGTGCCTGCGACGGCCGTCCACCGGCCCCTCTCTGTCGCAACCATCCCCATCGTGCCACATCCCGCGCCGCGCCCCGCCCCAATCTCGCGCCGCGCCGTGGCTCCATCCCCCATTGCGTGGGGCGTCCCCTGCCACGCCCCCCGTCCACCTTGGCTATCTCGGCTACGGCATGCACCGCGCCACCAGGAGGAGGTCGCCAGCCGTTGCTCTCGACGTTCCCATTACCCGAACTTGCTGGCTACCATAGTTCCACACCAGGTAGGCCATGGCTGCCACCGACGGTTCTGTGTTTTGAGTGTTTCAGGCGTTTCAGACTATGTGTTTTAAGTGTTTCATCTAAATATTGCAAAAGTAGGTCTGTGATGTTGCATATGTTGCAATGACAATATATGCATGTTGCAAGCCTATGTTTTAAGTGTTTCAGGTGTTTCAAACATATGTTTCAAGTGTTTTATATGGATGTGGCATATGTTTGCTATGGCTCTATACGCATGTTTCAAGCGTGTTTCAGATGTTTCAAACTCATGTTGCAAGTGTTTCATCTGAATGTTGCAAAAGTAGATCTCGATGTTGCGTATGTTGTTGTGGTTATACATGCATGTTTCAAGCGTATATTTCAAGTGTTTTGTCTGTTTCAGACGTATGTTGCAAGTTTTTCATCTAAATATTTTAAAAGTAGATCTAGGAGAGGACATGTTCCAATGATGCCGGTGGCTGGTGCACAACTTCCTGCTGGTGTTGGGGGCGCCGTTGAGAGTCACTGTGTGGGCACCTGTGGCCAGCAGACGCCGCTGCGGCGCACATCCGCAAGCAGTGTAGGTGATGGGACCCATGTGGGGCCTGGGAACGGGCGCGGGTGCGGGATGGGCTGTTGGGGCGGGATGGGCTGTTGGGGCACAAGATGGGCGCAGCGGCATGATGCGATGTCGGGACATGGGGACGCGGGCGCTGGATGGGATGCAGACTTGGATGGGGGGATGCAGTGCGAGATAATGCGTGGGACCTGCGTCCAGACCGTCCGTCTGGACATCCGGGCGCAAGCCCTTCCGCTTTAGGAAACGCTGCGAGCTCATCTGGATCAGTAGTTTGTTAGGGTAACTAATCACGGTCTTATCATACCCATTTCATTAGACACCGTGAGCCTCTTCTTATAGCTCAGGCATTCTGGGACCAGACCAGTGACTGTTGCTTGCATCTGTTGTCTCCGATCAGGGCATAGTAGATGGTCATTAGCTAGGCCACTATAGAACTGGTATTTATGCCGATGGGAGTGCAATCGGATTCGCCTGGCCATCTGATGACTTGTGGCTGAACTCGCGACGCGACCTGTACACAATTTATGGCTGCCGGTGGTGCTTTGTGAAAATCGCCCGTGGTGAAGCTAGAGTGAATTAGAGAGAGGTACACTTGTTGTAAGTGCATATAATTGTTATAGGGGAATACATACTGATACATGATAAAATATAGTCATAGTCACTGGTTTTTAATTTTTGATTGAGGGGCACATTTGTACTCCTACCTTCTATGTTAGTCGCGTGACCCAAACAAATACTTCAGAGATGAAAGAAATTACAGTTGTCTTCTAGTGGACAAGATATTATAACTGGAAGTTCGAGTACATGTGAATAAGTTCACGAAGCTGCAAAAACGGGGCCCAATCATCATGCTGAGGCGCATGTAACATCTTGTCTTTTCCTTTTATGAATTCCATGTTTCCAATCAACTCATATAGAAAGCAAACAGTAGAGCGGTGATGTGTGCCCTACTGCCCTTACTTTGTTTAGACACAACAACATCGTCCAAGTGACCAAGTTAGATAGGCTAGTTTTTTAAATAGGAGTAAAGGGCTTTGGCTGCGGATCTATTGAGACAGTTGAATGTAGCGAGGGTTTTGTTGTTCAGGTATAGGCTAGTTTGACAAATCTAGGGGCGGCTATGCTGAAACTAGTGGGCGTTTTAATTTCAGCTGTGGTGGTTGGCTAGCGACAGCTTTGCTGAAATAAATCTTATCTAACCATCAGTCCCATCCTGTACGACCGCGGCCACGGTTAGTGAATCAACATAGCCAGCGAGTGATATGAAATTGATGCCTGTTTGGACGTAGCTATTGAAGCTTGGAACTGGGAATTGGAATTAGCTTTCTAAATTCTGCTGTTTGGATGTCGTATTAAGATTTGAAATTACAACTCCAATACCTTGGTATTGGACTATAATTAGAAGTGGGCTCTCCCAATACAAAGCCCGATCCCTCCATATTGGGTGAAATAATTGGGCTCTCGTGACCCGACGCCTCTCCCTCGCCGCTGGCCTAACCCGACACCGCCACCGATCCAAGCGCCGCCGACGCCTCCTCGCTGGCCACGACCTTGATCCGCGCCGCGCAGTCCGTGACAAATCTCTTTCCTTGGACCCGATAACTCCCTCTCCGCTCGCGTCCCCAACCTCCGCTGCTTTTCTTCACATGAGGCCTAACGCTTCCGTCTCAACCCTCTCTGTGCGTGTGCAGTCAACCACCTCGTTCCCCATCTCTGGTAGGCTCCTTCTTCCCCATCTCTAGAGGTCCAGCTGTTGTGGTCTTCTTCTTCTCGAGTTCCGACCACCTCTTCTTCCTCAGCTCTGGTAGCTCTTTCCCTAGCTCCAGCATCTCCGCCCTCGGCTTCAGCATCTCCTTCCTCGGCCCTAGCAGGTTTCTTCCCTAGCTCCAGAGGTGTGGCTGCTGCCGTTGATGGGAGCAATTGGGAGAAGAAGTGTCAATTCTAGGTACATCCAAACAATAGATTTGGTATTGTTAGACATTTCTAGTACAAAGTTGATTTGGTATTGTATTCTAGCTCTGGGCAAAATACCCGATACCCATTACCAAAACCCGAATTACCCATATGCGAAACCGAACTACCCGAACCCGAATTACCCATTGCAATTTCGGGTAGTAACTTGAGATACCCGAAATTAATTTGGGTAGTTCAGATAACAAGCCCCGGTACCCGAATTACCCATATGACCCGATATGTAGAAACGCGGCACAATCCAGTTCCGGTAGTCGGCCCAACAGGAAACTGAGCCCAACACAGTCCGTAGTGGCCAGTTAGTCAGTGCCCCACCCCACCGTCGCCAGCCTGCCACCACGACCTACCGGCAAGGCGGCAACAGAGCATGGCCATCGAGGGAGAAGGAGCCAAGGAGAGGTGCACGGGGTACAGAACTCCAGAAGCACGGGCACTGCCTGCATATATTATTTTATATTTCTGTGAAAATTGCTTCTTACATTCTGTGCACATTGTTGCTGAATTTCTGTGCAAATAGCTGCTGAATTTTCTGTCCAGTTTGCTACCTTGTTACTGTAACTTCAGGTACATCGGGTATACCCGAACCCGAACCCGAAATTTCGGGTAGTAATATTTCGGGGCTACATTCGGGTAGCGTTTCTATTACCCGAATTACCTGACCCGAAAAATTCGGGTAACCCGAACGCCCAGGGCTATTGTATCCAATGCAATTCCAACCCCTTCAATATCTACATCCAAACGGACCCTAAGATTTATGTTCGTCAAAGAAGTTAAAGTTTGTCCAAGTTTACATTAAATAGTATAACATTTATGTCTCTAACTAAATTTACTATGAAAATATATTTTATAATTAACCTAATGGTACTTATTTTATATCATAATTGTTAGTATTTTTGCTATAATTTTGGTCAAACTTTAAATCGTTTCACCTCTCAATAAGTGAAAATTACATTATTTTTATGGCGGAGGGAGTATACAATAAGTACAAGGTTACAAATTTAGCGGCTGGCGTTACCTTGGGCTCGGCATTGTGGGTTGCCAGGGCTAGGGTCAGGGGCGTGCGCCTCGGTCATCTGCAGTGGCACCCCATAGGCCAGTAGCAGCGGGGACGCACGGTAGTGCCAGAGGGCTTCAAGTCATATCCCCGTATCCTATGTTGGTGTGGCGTGAAAGAGTTCAAGTGCTTGGACATAAAACACGGTAATTGTTGGCAAGCCCGTGAAAACCGATATAGCTGGTTTCCAAATAAAATCCGCTTGCATGGTTGGTTTTAGGAGAAAATGCTGGAAAGACCTATGAACACTTCCTCATAAGATCCGTCAGAGAGATGCACCTAGGGCCCGGGTGTTCTAGAGTTGGTAAAGCCACTTAGAACATCCATGAAGAGCAAATCATGGGTTGAAAGGGATTAGGGTTTGAAATGAATAAAAAAAGTAGTTTAGTTTGTTTTTTTATCAATTGGATACAAATTAGTTGTCCCCCCTCATATTTATAGGGTGGTGTGATCTTATCCCGTTAGAAAGTGTTTACTACTCTAAAATCTACTCGTTTCATAGGTTGGACTCATCAGGCTCTGCCAAAACCAGCTATCGTAAGATTTGGTGTCTAATAAGTGATCAACATATTACGTGTGGGGAATTAGGAAGGTAGCAATATGCAACAAAGGTTTATACTGGTCCAGGTACATGGTACCCTATGTCTACTTGAGAATAGTTTCTCAATTATGCCTTACGACCGAGTGCGAGGATACTGATGATGCGAGGGTTATGCTAAGAACCAAAATGACGATACAGAGGGAAAGATTCAATAAGTCAATATCCTTATGTCAATGTATCAATAAATCAATATCCTTTAAAATATCCTAATATTGTTGTGCATAACTAGGGTATTAGATTGTAAGAATCTACAGAGTAGCTCAATCTACTAAATCCAGCACCAACGGAACTCAGAGCCACTTCGAGTTTATTCATTATTAATTACAACAAACCATCTGTTGAAATTGACGTCTGCGCCACCTGACAGTACTATACGACGAAAAGAAGGATCTTAACAAGACAGGGACATCATCGTCCCCAGATGCTACAGCAACTGCAAGCAATCAACACGAGGGACGAATGCTGCAGGACTCTTACGATCGATCTTAATTCTTAACCAGCAGCAGGCATGCATATGGGCCGGCCATATTAGTTGCCATCGACGACGAGCTTGCGCCTGGTGTACTTCACCATGAGCTTGCCCTTGACGCCGACGACCATGGAGTTCCACTCGTTCTCCGGGAACGGGGACACCAGCTCCAGTTCGAAGTTCCTGAGCAGGTGCGCCCACACCGTCTTGATCTCCAGGTAGGCGAAGGCATCGCCGATGCACCGGTGCTTGCCGCCACCGAAGGAGATGTACGACAGGGCACCGGCCGCCTTGTCCTCGCTCCTTCCAGGCGCGAACCGGTCCGGGTCGTACGCGTCCGGGTCCTTGTAGACGTGGGGAAGCCTGTTCGCGACGGCCGCGGACGCCGACACTATCTGGCCCTTGGGGACGATAAGCTCCTCGCCTTCCTTCGTCGTCACCGCGAGGTCGGCGTGCGACCAGCGGAACACGATGGGTGTCGGCGGCTGCAGCCGGAGAGCCTCCTTGATGCACCGGTACAGGACGTCCATCTCCGCCAAGACGTCATGGTCGATCCTGCCGTCTCCGTGACGCTTCATGATCTCCTTCTGCTCCTCCACGGCGGCCGCCAGGTAGCGCCGGAACTGGAGCAGGTAGGCCCCGGTCCAGGTGGTCGTGATGGAGCTGGTCTCCTGCGCGCCGAAGAGCATCGTCGTGAGCAGCCCGGCGATCTCGTCCTCCGTGGTGGGGCGCCCGTCCTTCTTGTACCTGTAGTCGATCAAGCACTGCAGCATGTCTTCCTCGGACCGTCCAGAGGCCTTCCGGGCCCTGATGATGGTGCCGAACATCTCCCTCAACCGTTGGCGCGCCCGGTCGCGGCGCCGATGCGCGGGGATCGGGAGGTAGGGGAAGATGACGCTCACCTGCTGCATCCCGTTGCACAGGTCATGGAAGAGGGTGGCAACGTCGTCCAAGAGATTCTCACGCACCTCCCTCCCCAACAAGCATCGGCTAGTGATCAGTAGGATACTAGGATGACCTGCTCCAGCTCATGCTTCAAATCAACCGTGCCGCTCTCTCCCCACTTTGATAAGTACTCCTGCACGTAATAATTAATTTTAATGTCTTGTTACAGCACGTACTCCTCCGTCCCTTTTTTTTACTATCGTTTTCGCTTCTCAAAAAATCAAACGTTTGACCAAGTATATAAAAAAATTAATATTTATGATACATAATTAATATAATTATTATATAAATCGTTGAATCTATTTTCTTGATAAATTTATTTAGAGACACAAATGTTATTTATATTTTGTATAAATTTAGTCAAACTTATAAAAAGGGAAAGGAGTAAAGTATACGTAGTGTCTGATTCATTCACATCAATAATAAGAAGCATGCATGCATGGGACCTCATCATAGTTAGTTACATTAATTATTACCATGGACGTTAAGCAGCAATCAGCGTTGAAAAACAAACATATATAGATTGAACGACAATCAAGGAAGTATTAAATACTCCCTCTGTTTTTATTTATATGTCGTATTAACTCTGCCCAAAGTCAAAATTTTCTATTTTTTATCATCAATTTCAACAAATTTAATTATATAGGTTCATGACAAAAAAATTTGTTTTTAGATTCACTATAAAAAAATATTTTCATAATATATAATTCTTATGTTGTGAAACTATACGAAAATTTAAAAATCGATAATCAAAGGCAGTGTTATCCTAAACAGTAAACGGTAAACAGTCGGTCACCCTTTGTTTAGCGTTTAAACGGTGTTTAAATGGATTAATAAAGTCTAAATGGTTTTACACAATATTACCAAAATATGCATATTTTAATGTAAAATCAATTATTCTAGCATTTATACATATTTGTGCAAGTAAAAAATCAATTATTTTAATATGCATATTACAATAATCAAATATACATGTTTATGCAAGTAACAAATTAAGTGTACATATTTATGAATATAATAGACTTAAGTATACAAATTTATACATGCAAAATTCAACTAGATTTACCCGGTGTTCGCCAAACAGCCGTTTAAACAACCATTTAGCCCGTTTACCATTTATCTCTGTTTTCTCAACCGGTTAATTTCCATTTACCCTTAAATAAAATAGTTTACCATCGTTTACCATTTAGCGGCCGTTTAATCGGTCATATAGGGGAACACTTGTCAAAGGTAGTAATGCTTGACTGAGACTAAAGATAATATGATATTGTAAAAAAGAACCGAGAAAGTATATATATATCACCTCGGCCTCGCAAACCATAAGGCCTACGTAGCTGCGGAGCTTGTTACGACGGAGCCCCTCGGCAAAGATCCGGATCTGCTCCTGCCTCACGGAGTAGGGCACATCAAACACAACCCCTCGGCCCAACGCCGCGGCGGTGAACCCGTACACCTCCTGCTGGCTCATCTCAGACTCGGGGCCATTGAACAGGTGCTCCGACACCTCGGGGCCGATCAGGAAGGTGATCTTGTGGCCGAGGACACCGAGGGTGAACACGCTGCCGAGGCGCATGTACTCCTCCCGGATCATTGAGATGGGGCCACGCATGAACCGCACCAGCCCACCGATAACAGGCATGGCCGGGATCGTTGGCGGCAGCCGCCTGTGGCTGTGGCTGCGGCCTCTGGAGCCGGACCATAGGAGGAGGAGCTTGATGATGACGGCGATGGTGGTGACCAGCAGCGTGGCGCCAGCGATGAGCCTTTGCTGGTGGTTGTCCGCCGTCGGATGCATCGTTTCCTTCAGGTTCATGTCAATTGCCATTTCTGCTGGCTGCTAATCAGCACTAGAATGGAGTGCAAGAGGATGCTGCGGAATGTGTGGAGACTATGGAGTGCAGGGCAGGGACTTATATAGATGCCACGATCAAAGGAGGGTAGCGTGTGTGTGCGTATATATGAGGTATACAATACGTATGGCACAAAATATAAACCAAACATGGAAAAATAACTGCTCCCTCAGTTCTAAGTTGTAAGTTATTCTAATTTTTCCAGACACACATAATGTATATCATGTGTAGCATACACTATATACCTAGAAACCAAAACAATATACAATTTGGAATGGATGGGAGTAGCAATAAAACACAAAATGAGTTCATTCTCACCTTGTCTTCAAGTTAAAGTGGGGGGATTTTTATTCTACTGCTCTCTGCAGCCTATGCATGCTTGACCACTATACACTTTTACGGATAAACTGAAAACGCCGGTAGCGGCCTTTTGCGGTTTTTAAAGCCTTATTTGGCGAGGGTGTTTGCGGGCGTTTCTTTTGTTTGTTGTCTTCTCAGTGCGATCTTTAAGCTCCACCGGATAGTGGATGTTGAAGGAAAAAGCCGCTCCACCAGATAGTGGATGTTGAAGGAAAAAGACGACCGATTTGGTTTTTGATGTTCTCTTATTTTTTAGAGAATGATTTGTATCATATTGTACATCTTTTATGCTGGCCTTTATTTTCTTTGAGATATATCATATATGAGACACTCTTTTGAGCGTCTTTATTAAAAAAAATGTCATGCTTACCACCATTAATTCTCTCATAACTACCTCGAATGTACTTTTTATTGGTCAACAACTCTAAGAATTTATCTTACCGTTACTAATGGAAGACTCCGATGTATTAATCTTCACAAGACATGTTATAAAAAATTATAAATCATAAAAATATCCATCCTTTTCTTTGGTAGGCTCTAATTACACCATCGCCAATCATAGGCAATGAAACTATCATATAAATAATAGTATCCCATGTCTGTTTGCTAGTTGGCTACCGAGAAGTAGAAATGATTTGAATCTGCTCCTTGTAGGTTTTAATGTGGCTGCTACATGTTGGTTGCGCTGTTATAATATTACAAACCACAGTGTCTAAAATTTAGAGTTATTATAGTACCAAGTTTGAAGTATGATTAACTTATAATAACAGAAGTTCAAAGTTGTTACAATACCTTAAGTTCAAATTCTAGAGCTAGGGAGCCAACAACCATAAGACAAAAATAATCACTACTACAGAATGGACTTGTTGTCCCGGACGGTAACGGCCTTTTGTCCTGGTTACTGCGCCGGGACAACGATCCCGGAACTAAAGGTGCCACCTTTAGTCCCGGGTCATCAAGCCGGGACTAAAGAGGGACCTTTAGTCCCGGTTGGTATTACCAACCGGGACTAAAGACCCTCCAGCCGAGCAAACGTGGCCGCACCCTTTAGTCCCGGTTGGTAACCCCAACCGGGACTAAAGGTTCCTTTTCTTTTTCTTTTTTTTTTGTTTAATTTGTTTTCAGTTCAGTTACACGTATTTGTTTAATATATAATATGTTTTTATGTACATATTCTACACTGCTAATATAAATACACGCACGCATATAATTACATCTAATTCTCATCTCGAGCATTATTATATTCGAATAAAGTATGAACATATATATATTATAGATATATATATATATATATATACAACACTTTCATAATCTTTTTCTCAAAAATAACGATATCAATAAACATTTAATTTACACCATTTATTCTTTAGGATCAAAGTAGAACTCACCGTTGGGATTTAGCATTTTTTCTAGAAGAAATCCTGCTATTGACTCTTGAACTGCTTTCAGATGGTCTTTTTGCATGACCCTTCGTTTCAACCATTCAGTCTTGCATTTGAAATAAAAGGAAAAGTATTAATACATATATATATATATATATTCATTTAAAAATAAATAAAAATTTGATATATACGTACTCTGAGGACACCTTTAGGAGTTCTTCTTATGTGCGCAGTGATAAATTCACAAACGTAGTATCCACACAAGTTATTACCTGGTTGCTGCCGCAAACACCACTGTACGAGAAGAAGATTATTCTCATCATCTCACACATAAATTAAAGTACGATATAGTAATTAAACACGTGGGGAAGTGTATATAGTACAACTTACTGGTATTTCAACTACATTAAGTGGTGCCTTGCAATCCTTACGATGTTGCCGAATAAACTCTTTCCAAACCCTGTACGACCAATAATGTACGATCGTTAATAAATTATGGCAAAGTCTATTCAATAATAGTTGTGCGCGAGAGATCAAAATTACCCCTGGATAATGTCTATCATATCTTGGTATAGTGCCCGCTCTTTTCTCAACGAGTCAAAGATTACTAACCGACTTGAGTTTAACTCAATGACAATGAGTATCCAGTGAAAACTGCATTGGTTTATACACACACGTACATGCATATAAGTTATATTGATATTACATAAAATATGTAGACTACATTATTATTAACACTTACTCAAAGTTGTACGGGAAAAGTATTGTTGTCTTGTCGTGCTGCTTCACAAAAAACATCATGATATTCTCCTGTGCTTCAGATACCCACCGCTCCTTGATAATAAAACTGGTTTTGAATACGATATAAGGATCAATGAAGCTAACACTAGTGTCTTCTATTCTTTGGAGCTCTGACATCTGGAATCTGTATATAAATATAAGTTACATGTGAGGATAATTATATACACGTACACATGGAAGTGAGTTTATTAAATAAAAGTAAGAATCACTTACAAACAAAAGGAGCTAATGATTGATTTGTCCAGAGCGTCCAAGTGGTATAGTTGATGCAATTCTTCGAAACTAATATGTAAGATGTCATCACCACGGAAGTAATGATGGTCTCTAAATCTGACAAAGATCCACTGCTCACCCCGCCACACGCTTTGCATGCATGTACCACTTGTTGAGCAAGTACATTTATGTACTCCAATTCATTCAGAGTCATAGGTTGTATACGGACTTTTGCCATATTTATAAGTCTTCCAGGTATCAACTTCTAGGTTCTGGATTGGAGCTTTGCCCGTCAATTGATCCAAGGTTAAACCAGTATCTTCAAAAAAAGCATTAAGGGCTTGAACCGACACTTCTCTAGAGTTGTCTGGTCGATAGACTTCTATGTTGGAACCATATTCATTAGCAACAACAAGATTTTGCATTGGTTGCTTCATTGTCCGAGTCGTGGGGACATCCTTCCCGATGCTCTTTTCCTTTTCTTATCTCGCATCATCCGACTTCACGAGGGAGCGATCATAGTCCGATAGTGACGAAGGCTTACTTAAGTTCAATCATCTTTTTCTTGTGAGCATCGACCTTCTACCTCAAAGACATCTCGTGGTATGTAAAAAGTACGGCTTCTCCTTAAGCTTCGCTTGACTCTTGTTTTTATATCTATAAAAAATCTTTCACTTTTTTGTCTTCTTCAAATTGCTATTTGCTCATCGGTCTTTTTAGGAAGTATTTCTTGAGAAATAACTCTTTTCTCGGGGTCTTCTTTGTCACGGGACCTTAGACGCCTCTTTGTAGTGCGTCATTGTGGAGGGGTGGGGCGTGTGTTGGAGACCGGCGTGGAGACGATGAGGCCGGTGTTGGTGGAGACCGCGTGGAGGCGTTGGAGATCGTTGTGAGGCGGTGGGGCGGTGTAGGAGTTGGAGATTGTTGTGGAGACGATGGGGCGGTGTAGGAGTTGTTGATCGCCATGGGGATGAAGTCGTCTCGCCCCTGACACTGTGATGAGATGGGGAATGAATGATTAGGCTAGGTGGGGAGACCTTGCTACAAAAACAAGTTATGTGTCAATTATTTTTGAAGCCAATAGAAAATTAATGGAAAATAATATTTCATTCACTTTCATTCATACCTAGGGTGAGGTAGGGGAAGCGGTGGCGCCCAGAATGATGATGAAGCGTTTGCGCCATTGAATAAATGTCTTCTCCGCTTCTCCTAGTGTCTTCTCCCATCACCGCCTTCAATGTCAAGAGGAACATTGTCAGTAACCTTTGAGCACTCTATCGACCGAGACGCTAGCATATCCAGTTGAATAATCGACCCATGGATTCTTGGTGTCTTCGTTCGGTCTATTGGAGATACAACCCCGATGTACCACCATGATTGATGCATTATTACCATCTGGAATGTGCAGCTCACATGTTGTTAGAGTCTCGGTAATGTCATCAACAGGGAAGCGCAACCCAGCGTCGTCTTGAATAACTAGCAGCTCCGTAGAAGCACAACTGCTTTTAATCTGACCAACGGGGCTAATGGTGACTCCCGGCGTTGATTGCGATTGCATTTGACTCATTGCTAGCTGCACTTGCCTCTTGATCTCCTCTAGCATTCTTGCCTCAAGAGATTTTTCTCGTTCACGTGATTCAAGCAATGCTTGTCGTGACTCATCAACAAATTGCTCCAATGCACGGATTCGTTCTGCCTCCTCATCCTTCTTTCTCTCGGCGGCTTCAGTAGGTATCCTTGTCTGCTTTGGGAATGCGTGTAGCCACAGTAACCGCCCCATAGCCTCTTGTTCGACCACCGTGTTCGTGGATTCTCTAGGGCATATGTCAATTCATCCTTCTCTCTGTTGGGCTTGAAAACACCACTATCGCCTTCTTCCCTAGCACGAGATAGTCCCCTGTTTGCTCTCTCAATTTTTGGCCGAAAAAATTAGCTTGCCGATGTATCGGGTCTAGGCTTCCCCATGAGCGTAGAACCAATTCTTCGCGCGTGAGGCCAGCTTCTTCTCTATTGTTTCAGTATGATTCCCTTGGCGTAATCTCTCGCTTCTAGGTTCTCGCCACTTGGGAATAGCACTCCTATAACCACCGATCCCATGCGATGATGGTATTGCTTCATCAGCATTCTCGCCGATTCCTCATCACACGCTCCTCACTTTCTTGAGATGTCTTGTATTCTACGAAGGCATCCCAACGGGACTCCAACTTGACAAACGCCTT